TAGAGTTTACTCAGACCTTAGCATCTGTTTCATAGCATAATTCTAGTACTTTAGTATACTCCTAAATTTTACTGACTTTCAATTCAGATAGCTTATATAAGACTACAACTAGTTTATCAGTATATTAGATCAGCTCAATATTTTTTTTCTCTGATTTGTTCTAGTAGTCTGGTTGGTAATACCTTCAAGACTTTCAACCTGAAGGTTCTTGTCTGTCTAGTTACTAAGACCTTGGTATCTGTTTCTTTAGGCTAGCCTTTACAGTAGTATTATCAAAAATCCAGCTATTTTTTTATTTGAGTCTTTTCAAATAGACTTTTTTTTATCCAATTTTAATAGATTTATATACTTATCTAGTATTAGTACTGCCCAGTTGCCAGGTTGCATTCTTTTGTGTAACTTTAATATTGCAAGATGCCCTATAACCTGCCAGTCATACTGGTGCAATCACTATTACAGATATTCTAATCCAATCATTAGTAATAGTTGCCATAATATGAATATTATATAAATGATTATTCAAATTTTTGTCATTAATAGAATTTGAATATCCAATCTACTACTTAAAGAGTTAACAACTTGACAAATTTACTAGATTGTTACACTCTTTGTTTAAATAATATTTGTTTAATAGCACTAATTAAAACATTTAGAAAAATGATAACAAAGATAATAACAAAAAAGCTTGCCAAAATGTTTATAGAGAAAGAAGTGCTTAAGAGACTAAATTATGCAAGCCTATTAGGAAATTCAACAAAGCAGCTAGTACATATCCTAAATATGATAATAGAAGAGGCAAAAAAATAAATAAAAAAATATAAATACTTCTGCAATATATAAAAAGACATTTAATTCAGTTCTACTAAAAAGTTTTGAATTAGCATTACAAAAAGTTAAAATACCTAGAAAAATAATAAAATATATTTTAAATCTTTTTTATAAAAGACAATTAAGAATAATTATAGCCTCTGGTTTAATAAAAAAAGTATTAGCAAAAAATAAAATAAACCAAGTGAAGTAATATTACTATTAATATAATATTTCTTTTATAATTTATTATTAGAAAAAATGCAAGAAGATAAAGTTTAAAATATATAGTTGAACAACAAATTAAAGAAAAAATGCAGTGCAATAATATTACAAAATATTGCTAAGCAGCAATTGCATATGCAAATAATATAATATAGATTGCAAATACTAAAAGCCAGCTATTAAAAATTTTAAAAATAATTAAGAAGTTTTTAAGATGAATAATATAGAAATAAATAGATTAAAATCAAAACTGTATGTAATGAATACAAAAATATCAAGAAAGAAGAAAGAGAAATAACTTTTAAAAAAAATAAATAATAGAAAAACCAAGAAACAAAATAGTTCATTTACTAGAAATATAGTTAAATAACAAAATATAAAAAGTATTAGTTAAAAAGAAAGCTAAAGTGATAATTAGTCAGATAATAAAAAACAGTGAAAATTATTTATATAAAATCTTGAGATATTAGAAGAGAAACACAAAGTGTATAAAAACTATCTGGTTCTGTCCATAAAGTTTTTATAAATATTATATTAAATAATATATAATTATTAATATATAATTATTATATAATTAAAATATATAACTTTTATAAATATATAAAATTTATATAAATATTTTATTTATAATTTATTAATATATAAATGTTATATAGTCAAAATATATAACTTTTATAAATATATAAAATTTATATAAATATTTTATTTATAATTTATTAATATATAAATATTTTATAGTTAAAATATATAACTTTTATAAATATATAAAATTTAAATAATTTTTTTATATAGAATTATACTTATATAATTATAAATAAACTTTTATATAAATGTTTTTTTTTTAATGTTAAGGTGAGTACATGTAATCTAGAATTTTATTAGTAGTATCAGTTGGCTAGCATCTGTTAATGTAATAGCACAAAGGTGATTATAGAAAGAATATACAACTAGGCACTCATACAACTTTAGTTATTGTCTAATTTAAGTAGTCTATCTGAAGGTTTTATATTAGTTGCTATATCTAGGACCTATCTGTAGGATCTCTATTTAAACACTCTGATCCTGAATCTACTACACTCTATCAATGACTTCAGTAAACTGGTGAAGATATGCCATGGTCACTAAGTCATGTTTAACTTTGTACTAAACCTGTCAGTACATTCTGTATCTTATACTTACAGCTTATCTGATTACACTTTGGCCTAAACCATCACTTGCAGTTAGGGCTAACCATTAAACTGTTTTTATTCTTATAAGATTCATCCAAAACCTTAGCATCTATCTTTCTGATATCCTTTTCATTGTCTTCTACTAACTGCTATTCAGGACTGACAGAACTCTCCAGACTTCCAATTTAAATGGCCTAGTATAGTATATCTAAGTATTCTTTTCCTTTAATGATTCTGACAGTCTGATTGGTCATGTGCTCCTCTACACATCTTGCTATTTGGTTTATCTACCTATCTCTTTGAGAGTGTTTTATGAGCTTTCATTAGTTTGACACTACTGTCAAAAGTTTTGTGTTATCTCTTTGGTTTCTTTACTTTTTGTATTTAGTGATCTTATCATGGGTTTGCACTGAAGTCTTATACAATATTGGTTATACATTCTTCTATATGAATATAATGTTATATTTAGCATAGATGTCCTAAGCTCCCATTTGAGATTGTGTAACTGAAGGTTATAGATACACAAATTCAACTGATTGACAGAGACAGTTACTATAACACAGATCTATTTTTCAAAATTCATCATCTATAGGATTTGAACTCTAGATCTGCCACTTGAGGGTTAACAATCTGATCACTTCACTAGGTCATCATACTCCTCTTTTATATAAATGTTATATTATATATAATTTTTATATAATATTCTATATAGTATTTATATAAATTTATAGACTTATATAGATTTTATAAAAAAATATACTTAATAATATAACTAACTACTCATATTTAAGTTTTGTTAATAGGACTCATTCTTGTAAAATTCATTCAGACCCTAGTATCAATTTTATAACATATTTTTAATACTTAACTATACTCTGTTTTGGTCTTTAGACTCCCAATTCAAATAGTTCAAAAAGACTATAACTTGTCTTTGATATCTCAAAGATCTGTTCTTTCAAAATTCTTTTCTTTCAGTTCGAGACTTTCAATGTCTTGGTTGATGATACCCTTCATCTGAGATTCTTGTCTATCCAATTCCTTTTATATTAGTATTTATTTCCTAAATCTACCCTTTAAAATAGTACTGTCAAAAATCTATGCTACTTCTTTATTTGAGTCTTTTCAAGTAAACTCTGACTTTTCAGTTCTATGGATTTATACAGTCACAAAAACTTATCTTGGGTTTGTATCACCTGATGCTAGTTTGCATTCCTCTGTTTAACTCCAACATTATGCAAATACCCTATAACCTACCAGTTATGCTGATGCAATTATAATTACAGATAACATATCCAAACTAATTAACAAAATACTGTTGCCATGATACCATCTGTGTATTATATAGAAAATTATTCAAATTTTCACCATCGATAAGTTTTGAACTCACTACCTATCACTTAGAAGGTTGGCAACTTATCCACTTTACTAAGTTACCGCACCCTTTTCTGATTAAGACTTTATTTTGATTATAGAATATTTTTCATCTTTAGCTTAACTTAAACTGTTAACCTCTTCTGTAAGGGTTTGAAGCTTAATCACTAAACTATTATACTATTTTAATAATTACAAAATCAATTAATTTTATATAATTGTAGAATTACTTTTCAAAAATCTTACATTTTTGCGAAAGCATTAAAATAATCTAGATCTAGTGTGAATTATTAGACTATAAGTCGCCAAGAGGGAATTTTCACGGTAAATCGCAAATTTAGTCCTTGCTAGCACTATTAACGAGGTATTAACAAGGTTTTTTGAAAAAACTACTAATTTTTCATATTTCGTCAAAAACTTTGCTAATACCTCGTTAATAGTGCTAGTAAGAAACTATATTTGTTATTTACTATGAAAATTCCCTCTTGGCAACTTTATAATCTTAATAATGCAGACTAGTTCTAGATATTTTAATGCTAAAATAAAAAATTTTTATTTAAATGTGATTTGGTAATTATTAATATAAATTTGAAAAAATTTACTAAAAATAATTTTTTTTACGTATTGACAGATATTACCAACATATACATTTTTTACTTCTCTTATTTGGATTAATGGAAAGTGGGAATTGGGAAAACAATTTTACCATCGTATTGCTCTAAACTAGCTTTACCCAAATTTTAATTATACTTTTCTGTGATCGCAGAAATGCCGACCCCTGGAGTTGAGTCGGACCGGCCGGACTTTTTTCACAGTAGGGCATGAAAATTTTTTTGGGCATGTCTTCGGGGAATGCTCTTGACTAAAGGCCCTCTCCATGCCCGGGAATGCCCCCATAAATATATATATCAATGTTATCTTGTATAAATGGTTAATATAAACCAATAAGAAGGCACATTCATTTCATATACGTTTTTAAATATCAAATAAAAGGGTATGCCTTTCAGCTTAAAGGAATGCCCAAGAATCTTGTGCCCCTACCCTATTTTTTATCATGTGGATTTGTATAAATAGTAAAATCTGGTGTAATATAGGGTCATATAAGACCAGAGAATATATTTTACTACATGTGTCAAAGAAGCATGAAGTCGGTGTTTTTCCAACTTAAAGTGGATTAGATCATACTATAATCGTCCCGGAATTTAGTGTTATATTGGTAATAACAACATATGATATCAGATATATATTGGGCATATGATCTGCATTTTAAAAATATAAAAATATATTTAACCCACCCTAGTTATCATTATACGGTTTTTTTCAAAAATTTTTTGAATTCTGTCATGATTGGTATATTGAAGGTAATAAATCTAATTAGCATTGAATTTAATGTTTAATAATTCTTTACCTAATCAACATTAATTGAAAATGGATGTCGTCCACTATAACAAAACTAAATAATCGTATTTTATAAATATCATTTAATACATTCTCGGAAAAAAATCATGTGAATAAGACTCCAAATCTGCTTATATCAAGCAGACTTAAATTATTTCAAACCCACAATATCTATCATCGTAGCGTTATTGTACCATGCTATGCACAAGCTTATCGTAAATTCTCTCAGGTAATGACAAAATGATTTTATGTTGGTATTTGAAACCTTATTTAATTCAAAAAAATCTGCTATAAAAAGTCGCATATAGCAAATAGCAGGTTCTCAGAATTGGTCTCTAAAGTTCGAGAATCATATCCGATTCAAGAAATAACTCCTAAAGAATTACATGCTTCGCTTAACGGCAACACTTCTACTGTCACAAAACCAAATATAATATTGATTGATGTTCGTGAAAAAGATGAACAATTACGTGGCATCATACCAACCGCTATACCACTACCACGTGGAGTTCTTGAAAGAGATATTGAACGGAAAGTCGTTAGCATTGATGAAGTTAATTCAGAGACTGATAGAAATGTTATTCTTTATTGTGCTGGTGGTTTAAGAAGGTTTGTTTTATTCATTGAATTTTATTTTGTCTAATTGTTACATAAATATTTAGTTATATATTTATTTAACCTTTCGATTAACTATAGCATCATGGCAGCAGAAAGTTTGATTAGATTAGGATACAAAAAAGAAAATGTCAAAAGTCTGAAAGGTGGTTATGACGAATGGAAGGAAAGTGGTTTTGAGGTTATGGATTATGATTCTTCGAAGAAAACGTGATTAGCCACGTCTTTAACCTTTTTACTATGATATTTAAAAATTTTGTTTATGCACGATGGAAGCTTTTATGATTATTAATATAATATATTGATATATGTCTCGTAATTAAATTAATAATCTTTAGTCTATTTATTGTCGCGGATCATAATGAAATCGGATTAAAATAAAATGAGGGATTTCTATTTGGCTCCATAAAACCTACTTATACTTGTTTATTATAAATTCTACCTAAAAAAAATATGCTAAAAAAATGCATTTCAAAAATTTGTATTTTTCGGTGGCTTGTCTATTTGACACTATCACTCATTTCCTTTTAATCTGATTTCATTTGAATCTGTTACATATATTTTATCGAGTGCTAGTTGTTTATACAACTTAAAGGCATTGTCATTTTGCATAATCCTCACGCAACATCATTTTAAATATGATAACACGTAAAGTATGTTCACCAACTTGATAGCTTTGAATGATTTATCAATGAATCTAATCATAAATGTAATAACACAATTACAATTTAAGATTCAATATCCATATCATCAGGAAATTTTTTTTACAGAAATTAATCAATATATAGCATTTAATTGATATATATTTGATTGATATATATTGTTTGCAAATAATGATATACAGTCAGACCTTGATATAATAACCAGGTTGGAAAACAAAAAATTGGTGATTATAAAAAGTTGTGACTATATGAAGGTCAAAATTTATATGTTTTATATAAGTTAGGAGCAAAAAGTAGAATGATTATATCAAGGTTGTGATTATATCAAGAGTGACTATAATGAGGTCTGACTGTATATTGATAAACCAGTTTATAATCAATATATCTTAAATATTAATGTAGTTATTGATTATTATTAATTTTTTTTTTTTTAAACTTAAGTAGTCACACTAATACTTTATTAAGACTCTTGAAATTACTCTTGCAATTACATAGATTTACCTAATAACTAAGTCCAGTATCACCTGATTATTCTAAAAGTATTTAAGTATAACTTGTTACACTACCACAGGTCAAACAAATGAATAAAGGGTGAATAATAGATAAATAACAGAAAAAAAATCTGTCATTTACTTATTATTTACCCTTTATTCATTTGTTCAACCTGTGTACTTCAAACAGAAATAGGTTGCTTGTCTAATTACTTAAAGTCCATAATGAAAAGGTTTTTTTCTTTTACAACAAGTCTCAATATTGTTTTCTTAGTTTCTTTTTTGATTTTCTTTTTCTTTTTTTTGTTTGTTTTTATTCTTCTTAAATTTTTTTTGATTTAGTTTTTCTTTTTTCTTTAAGTTCTTTTTCTTTACTATTTTTTTATTTATTTTATTTATTATATCTTCTTTTTTCTTCTATTTATTACTTTTTCACATCATATTTTTCAAACTTGTTTATAAAAAGTATTACATGCTATTTTTACTACTATATCTACAAAATGTTGTCTTGTCTTTATATTCAGAAGTTGTGTCAATCTGTTTTGTATCTTTTTTAGAATTAAGCTTTAATTAATGTTTCTTTTATTTCTATTTTTTCTATTTCTATTTTTCTAAAAAATGTTATATATAGCATATATAAATGAATATAAGTTCTTTTTTTTTTATTCCTTTTCAGATTATTATAATAGTTACTTTTTGAATTCATTTTTAAAGATTTATTTGTCTTTTGTATGATATCAAATATAACTGTTTCTTTAACTTTATCTTGATATACTTGACATTCTGTTATTGTATATATATTTGACCTTCTTTTATTAAGTTTTTCTAAGGTTAAAAGTTTATCTATTATACATTTATAAATATATATCTTTTTGTATTACTTCTTTTTGTTATGCAATGTACTCTTTTAGTTATATTTAGTCTTTTTCAAAATTGTATCTAGTCATAAATCATAATCTCTGTTTTTGATTCTAATTTTCTAATTACTTTTGTTTCTTTTTATTCTGTCTCTAATCTTGTATTTGTTACTAATTTGTATAACAATCTTACTAATATATTAGTTTGTTTGTTTTTTTATTATAGGCAGTATTTTATCTCTTTACAACTGACTTTTTTTATCTGTATTATTTTTTTATTTATTATTCTTTTTTTTGTAAGACTATTTTTTTTTTTTTTTTCCTCTTTGGCAGCCTTGCCGTTAACCTTTATTAAGATTTGTATTTACAAATTTGTACATA